CTTTATCACAAGGGGTATGGGTGCTTAAATTCCAGTGGATGTTTCCTTTCTTTGGCTTCTTTTTAAGCACAGCTTCCATTCGCATCCTGGCTTTCCCACTGATTCATGGTATGACTCTGGGAAAGCCTCATCAGCTCAGACAGCTTCAGCTTTCCAGCCTGTAAGTATCTGCCCTTCAAGTGCATTGCGAGGGGCTGGAGTTTATGGACACAGAGTGTCCAGCCCAGTCCCTGGCCCTCAGAGATGCTCTCTAAATGATGGCTACTATTTTCCTTTATATGTATTTGATTTTTTTTTTTCCTTCTAGCAGTAAGCATGTAATAGTTTGGAATACAAATTTTAACTAAAAGATGAAAAAGGTCAAGATACATTATGACATGGAAAAATACAGTCTAATCATAAGTCCAAAAAGTAGACTGTAAAATTTTATAGAGAATATAATTCTAATTTTTAAAAATGATTTATATATGAATATATATTTATTTTATAATAAACATCACACTTCTGTTATTACAGGTGGAAAGGAGCAAGACGAAGAGAGATGACATTTACCGGTGACGAACTGCGGCTCAGAGAAGTTGAATAACTCACTCACGGTCATACAGCCAGCAAATGGGGGAGCCAGGATTTGAATCCAGACAATCTGGGTACAGATCCTGCTTCTAATCACTGTGGCATGTTGTTTCTCAGGCACTTCAAATACACCCCCTGTAATCCTCACAGTAATCCTGCAAGGTAGGCCTTATTATTCTTATTTTATAGTCACTTAGTATCTTTGGTAAACTCCAGGAGGTAGTGGAGGACAGAGGAGCCTGGCCTGCTACAGTCCATGGGGTCGAAAAGAGTCGGACACAACTTAGTGTCTGAACAACAACAACAAGCATCTTTGAGCCACAGTTTTTCCATCTCTGAAATGGGCACAAATGCGCCCTCAGAGGGTCAGTGAGAACATGTGAGAAGGTGCATGGGACAGCACTTCACAGAGCGCTTTCTGAAGGGCACATAAGCATAGGGCACATCTTACTCGTCAAATGTACCACAAGGAGGAACTGCCTTTCATGGGGAGTCAGGGGCTCTGCTTGCCAGCTTCCCTGCTGTTGCCCCTCACCAGCCAGTGCTCGGAGTGAAATCTGGAGGCAGGTTAGATCGACTGGGCAGCCCTGACAGCAGATTAAGAGACTGGGAATCACTAATTCACGTTCAGGATCTGTTCTCTGTTTTAAAATCTAGACAACAACCATAAGTGAAAACAGAAACAAACCAATAAAGCTAAACCCGACTCGGCCATATTGTGAAACATGTTTTTGGGGGTCTCAGTTAAAAAACACTGCAACAGCTTTCTTAATGAATCTTGAAGTTCAAGTTTCATTTGTAAAGAATTGCATTAAGCCTAGCAAATTGGGAAAGAAGAGAAGCCAGGAATTTTCAGATAACTTGCAGGGCCATGGTTAGGTTTATGATGGAATCGTGAGTCTGAGGTCCAGGCATGCTGAAAAGCTCTTGTGTGGCCAGACCCCAGGGACTATACAGTTTCTGCCACCTGCCAGTTCTATGATCTGAGCCAAATGCTTCCCTTTGCTAAGCCCTAGCTTCCTCATCGTAAGGAAATAGTGAGGGTATCAGAATACCACACACCTCCCAGTGTTGTTGGGTGGGTGCACAGTTGCTTATATGAGCTATCACTGTCATCCTCTGGTCCTCTGGTCCTTTAGATTGGACTAAGTACCCGACATGCCTGGGAGGAAGATGAAACACCATGGGGAGGTGGTCCGTGAGATCACACAGAATGGCTCAAGGGTCTTGGGTCCTAGTCCAGCCGTGTTAACGACTCTCTGTGCAACTCTGATGTGAATGAGATCACATCCCCTCTCTGGGCCCCAGCTTCCCTGTCTGTAACAGGCAGGGTGGCAGGAGGGAACTCAAGTCTGTGCTCTCTGTGTCCTCCAGTCCTGTTACTCACATTAACTGCTGCGAATTCCTTCTCCAAGCCCCTGAGTCACATCAGCCAAAAGCAATGACTCGGCAGGACTCTAACATTTTTCCCTCCACCCTGGCTTATTTAGGGATTCCCGATGGCTCAGACGGTAGAGTCTGCCCACTATGTGGGAGACCCGAGTTCGATCCCTGGGGTGGGCAGATCCCCTGGAGAAGGAAATGGCAGTCCACTCCAGTATTCTTGCCTGGAAAATCCCATGGACAGAGGAGCCTGGCAGAATACAGTCCATAGGGTCGCAGAGAGTCATGGACATGACTGAGCAAATTCACTTTCACTTTCTGGCTTATTTATCTGGGATCCTGCTGTGTCCCACATCGTGACTGAAATAAAGGCGCTCATTTCATTCTGCCTCCATTAGATTTGGTTTGTGTGGATAACAATTTCTTACAAATGACTATGAGCTTCCTAAGGGAGAACAGGCTGGGCCATGTTCACTGGTCTTTATATCCTCTGAGAAAGGAGCGTGCGACCTGGGAGATAGCAGGAGCCCAACGAATGTGTGCCTGACTGAACTTCAGACAGCCAAGTGCTTACTCTGGCTCACCCCATATTGCTGGGTAAAGCCTGCCCTGTTTCTCCCGTCACTAAAACTGCCCCTGTTTGGCCAAGACCTAGAGGGGCCAGTGAGGACAGTCTTGCCCCCTTCAGCACTTGGGGACAGTCTAACTCCCTCAGCTGCTTCATCTGTGCCATCCTTCAAAGCGGGGGGGACCCCCTTCCCCTTCCTCTTGGCTCCTCCGATGGGTAGAGAGCCCACCAAACTGAGAGGCTCCTGAGGTGGGCTGTTGCCTCATTTCACAGTTCAGAACCCAAGGCCAAGCTTCCTCAACAGTGTGGTCCCCCCAGCCAGTTGTCTTCCCAACCAGGATGACCCATGGATGTCTTTCTGGCTGGACTGGAAGCCCCATGGGACATCACAGTTCCCAGGAGGGTACCAGGCATTTGATAACATCAGCTGCATGAGGGATGCTCCTTTATCACTGCCATGATTCCACTGCATCTGCAATGGGTGCTGTCTGTCTCTCTCTCTCCAGACCGTGAACATCACAAGGGTAGAGACTATGTCTCACTTGTCTCTGAAGTCTCAGAACCCAGGAGAGGGCCCGATGCAGAGGAGATGTTCAGTTAATGTTTGCTGAGTGAGTGAATGACCTCAGGTTACAGTACTCATGTATGGCTTCACTAGAAAGTATATAAAAACTCACTCCAGTCCAAACATGCTCTGCAAATGGAAGAGGTATATTCTCCTGCACTTGGCGATTTGTTGACGGTTCTTTTCCACTTCTTGCTGGTTCACCTCCGGGACAGCTGGAGAAGGCTCTCTTCCCCTGGGGTCTGGCTCAGCCCCGTTTCCAATGATGAGACACTCTTCAAGGGCTGCGGGGCTCTGGGCTTCCTGTGTGCCCACCCACCCTGTCAACACTGGGGAGTCTGGGCCCTGGGAGGCTAGCTCTGAAGCATGGTGAACAGAGGATACATGGACATTGTGCTTCATGTGATGGAGTAAATGGACCTTGTTTTATGACCTATTCTGGGATGTGCATTTTGGGGAGGTATACCTTCTCCTGGCATTTCTCAAGGACACCCAGTTCTTTTGCTTCTCAGATAATCAATAGCCCTCTGAAGGCTTTGGCCAAGACCCTGGATTCCTGCAAAGGGGATGACTTCATGGTACGTCTCCTCTCCTTTTCTTTCCTAACTACACGAATGTCATTGCTGGTCATGGAATTGTGTCTACACAGTCAAAGTGAAGGGGGAAGTTAGGGAGATAATTAGGTTGACATCTCCTTTCTATGAAGATCAAACATGATTGTCCTTTATCTTCCTGGAAGGCAGGGCTACATGGAGCCCTTGCTCTGCCTGTGATGTTTTCTCCAAATGGAAAGTCCTCTCCTTTCCAATAAAACCTGCCTACTCAAGTATCGCCTTCTTGATGAATGTTTTCCTATCCCCATGACAGTCAATATGGAACTCTGCCCCAGCATGTCTCACCGTCTATTAGCACTTCACTTTGGTCTCTCTCCCTCACTTGAGTACCTGGAGTGTGGGGACAGGACTTATTCATCCCTGTGCCTGGCCTAAGGTCTGGACCCCTAATAGGGAACTCTGGATATTTATGCAGCAGAAGAATTAATGAGCTTTGCAAGTTTCAGGTTAAGGGACATTTCAGTCCTGTGAGATCTGAGGAGGAGAGCATGGACCTGCTGTCTCTGCCTGCCTAACTGTGGCCCAACCCCACGGGCTCTTTGTGGAAAATTACTCCATGGGGCCGAGGACTGGGTGCATTGGGCTTGGCCTCCTCCTGGATTCAGGCAGCAGATATAAGGTCTGAAAGCTGGGGGCTCGGACAAAGACCAGTGGTCTGAAACAGCCCAGAGCTGCTGGAGCCAACATAAGGTAAATGAACCAGAATAATCACGACAGCACACACTGGCCTTTTAGTCCTCATGCTGCTCTGAGATTGTTGAACTGCACTAAGTAGAAGGTTCCCAAAGGTTGGGATGCTGAGTTTCTGGCCTTGGATTTTCTACTCTGTGCAGTTTTAGACCAGAAAGTCCCTTGGCATAAACACAGAAGCTGCATAAACACATATTTTTGATGAAGTCAACTGTTAGGCCATCATTCGAAAGGAAGGGCTAAATGTTCCGATCTTTTTTTTTTTTTTGGTATATCTTTTTATTCTCCTAATAACCCCCTGAGATTGGTAGAGGCATGAAGAATCATCCCATTTTCCAAGTAGGAAACTAAAGCACCTTGTGGTTTACTTGCTGTCAGATGGCAACACATTTTGTTTGCATCAGTTAAGCTTAATTAATTCCAATGGAACAACGAGGGATACGTGCTCATTCCTTAGATGACAGATGCCATTTTATGCCTACCCTAGGGCCCCCTAGACTGGACAGCCAGAGGCTTGGGGGCCTATTTGCTCAGTAATGCCCACCCTCCACTCTGTGTCTCCCACTGCCCTGGAGACGCACGGGGCCCGTGGGTGCCAGGGCCCTACCTCCATCGTTGTCTTTGCTGTCGCCACAGGCGGTTTCCATGGACGTGTCACAGCCAGCTCCTCTCCAGCCCAGCTGGCAGACGCAATGCCACCCGTTCAGGTCCAAGGTACATCTGCCGTTGCCATTGCACAGGCCAGGGCAACCCTCTGCAAGGCAAAGCAGCCAGAGTCAGGGTCTGATCAACCACAGGCACAGGCTGTGCTCACACACACTCACACTCAACCTGTCAGCTCACAAAAGGCCTTCACATTCATCAGCTCACTGATGCCCTGGGTACCTGGGGATGCCTATCGTTAGAACTGCCCCTTACTTCTAAGGCTACTGGGACTCAGAGGTGGAAGGGCCTGCTGAGACCACATGGTTAGGACATGGAACTTTCAGGAGGTAGCGGGGCTAGGTCTGAAGCCCACACCTGTATCCAAAACCCCCTCTTTCCAAAGTGATCAGGAGTCTAGAGCCAGAGTCAACAGATGTGGGATTATCCAAATCTGGCCAGTGGAGCTGTGGGGCTGATTCTTCGCTCCTTGCTCACTCTTGCCTGTTGTTCCTGCCTCTGTTTTGTTTAAAACAAAGGAATGACCAGCCTCTTTGCTTACTCCTCTTGTTGCCTCAGCACATCTGGGTCTCATTCTAAAGGGCTGTACTTTTCTCAGGCCTTGGGACTAGGCCCATTGTATGGGACCTTAGGCTTCGCATTTGTTTTGTCCGATTTCCTCCTGAACAACTGTCTTTGCTTTGAGGGAGAGTTCTGGGGTCTCTTTCTTCCCATCTGATCCTCAGCCACTCAGAGCAGCCTGGATGACTGCCACGAGAGCGCCTAACGAGGGCTGTCTGGGAATGCCAGGGCAGGTTCGGGCAGGCCGCTCGCCCCTAATTGTGTTCATCTGTACATCTGTCTGCCTGCCTGTCATTTATTAGGCACCTTCTCTGGGCTAGCACTGGAGGTACAGACATGAATAAGACCTGGTTCTTATTCTTGAGGAGCATGCAGCCTATCAAAGGAGACAGATTTGTATGAGCAAAATATTTCACTGCTAAGTGCCCTGAGGGAGATGTACAAAATATGGTGGGAACCAAACATGGGAGTGGCCATCTGTCTGCGAGGGCTGGGATGATTTAATCAGGGAGGGTCAGGCGATATTTAGACTCTGCCTGAGTTCTGCTTTGACTAGATCATAAGGTGGGAGCTATTATTATTCCAGTAAGCTTGCAGGTTTTTGCTTACCACCTTTTCGAGAATCTGTTAAGTTACATGCTTCACTCCAGCTTCTATTTTGCTGCTTGAATTTCATCAAGTCCTCATTTTAACAAATCTGCCAACTCCTTTCTTAGAGGGGCCATCAAGAAAGGCCTCACCAGGATGCCTCCCATGGCTTCTCTCCGACCCTGCTCAGTCTCGGGTGAAGGTATGGATGTGAAAGCACGCTGCCATCTATAAATGTCTTATTATTAAGAGCAGCAAACTGCTACAAGTACAGCTGTAAACTGAATTTTCTATCATGAAATAACTGAAAACTGACCCATTACTCTTAAATGAAATAAGTATGGATATGGCTGTCTCGTACAAGGCCTAGGCCAAGGTAGGAACTCACTAAATGGCAGATCAATTAGAATCTAAAACTGTAGTGTTTCAAGGCCTTTTTATTCTTGACTGGTATTACAAAGTAGAATTTATACTTGAGATGTTCAGCATAGCCACCAGTCAATCTGCCCACTGTACTTTCCATTCAAAGGAAGAAACATTTATTGAGTGTGTACTCCCAGCCCAGGAGGGATTCCCACAGAAGCTTTGAAGCGAATGTAGACTATAGGGTCTCTGCCTGGCAGAAGCCTGTTGGGAGAAGCGGGACGACATCAGCATGGTCACCCCAGAAGAAATCGAGGCAGCAGCTGAGAAACACAGGAGCAGCGCTGTGACGTGCAGGCATTCTGACTCAGAAGCTGACCTCAGCCACTCCTGATCTAAGCACCTACAGGCTCCCTCTTTGTCCAATTAGTCCCATTTAAAGTTTTGTCCGTCCAGCCGAGACTTCCTTTAAATTAAGCCTCATATGTTGACATCAGTCTCGGAGGAACAAGGGTCCACTTGTTAAGGGTAGTAGTAGACTGCTTTCTTTTGCTCCAAGGTGTAGCCTCGTGTAAGATGCAAAGAATCTCTCTTTGCAAAGAATCTCTCTGAAGCACAAGCTTCAGAGTCATATCAAAGGCTGGTTCTACCACTCAGTGACTGTAAGACCCAGGTACCTTATTTAATTCCTTTGAGCCTCAGTCTACTTATACAATGGGGTTGTTGGGAGGAGTAAATAAGATAATGTATGCATGATGCACAAAGCCAGACATACAGCTTGAACACAATATCTGAGTCTTCTAGATGTCATGACTTTCTCTCTAGTTTGAGTAGAGGGACTATCATATCATAAGTTGTATCCACAACCCCAGATAGGGGTCATAGAAAGGCAAAAAGAAAACTGAGGCAATTATCTAGATCAAAGTCAGCAAAGTATTTTGTAAAGGTCCAGCTACTGAATATTTTGCCTTGTGAGCCATATGCTCTTTTTGGCTCTGTCATTACCAAATTCTGCCATTATAGCTTGAAAGGAGCCACATACAATTTGTAAATCAATGGGCATGGTTGTGTTCCAACAAAACGTTATTCATAAAAATGGGATGAGCCAGATTTGGTCTGTGTTCTGTAGTCTGCCAAACCCTGATTTAGATGCTTCAGGACAGTGATGACAATGACAGTTGCCATATACTGAGGGTCTACTATGGCTTACCACTGTGCTAGACATTCTACATACATTATTTCCAAAACGAAGTAACTTTTGGTTATATTTTTTCAGATCCTGATTGTCTAAGGCAGTGTCCGTTTCACACCATTCAACCCTAAATTTTTAATAAAAACCAAATCTTATAATAGAATGTGGACTTTGGAACGGGACAGAGCAGTTCAAATCCCAGTGCCACCGTCTTACTTTGTTGTTGCAAAGTCATGTCTGACTCTGCGACCCCAGGGACTGTAGCCCGCCAGGCTCCTCTGTCCATGGGATTTCCCGGGCAAGAATACTGGAGTGGGTTGCAATTCCCTTCTCCAGGGAGTGGGTTGCCATTTCCTTCTCCAGGGGATCGTCTTGATCCAGGGTTTAAACCTGTTTCCTGCACTGGCAGCCAGTCTTGGGGAATCCCATGTAATGTTTGGCAAATCATTTAACTCTCCAAGTTCAGTTGTGTTATGTGTAAAATGGAGCTAATACCCAATCCAAAGGGTTGTTAAGAAGGTTAATGGGATAATGTATACTGATTATTTACCATAGTGGATAACACAGGGAGGCATTTAATAAGTGATAGCTGCTATTATTATTATTATTGGGCTTATTTGTTTTAACATTGTATTGGTCCAACTTCACTACAAAAATCACAAACCAGAAAATAACACTTTGCCAGTCCAAACTGTTCAACATTTGGGTCAAAAGCTATGGTCCTCATAAATACAAACCTTGCCAGAGAGAGCTGAGACAAACCCAGTGCTGTGGTCATGGGGTCAACACGCAGCTCAGCAGGAAGCAGTAGGATAGATGGGTTCAGGGCCCCTGAGTCCCAGCCCAGGCCCACCTGACTTTGCTAGTGCTCTGTCCTTCTCCTTGACAGCAACTGTCCCAAGCATACTTAAGTGATTCATTTTGCAATAATTTAAGGTCTATTCCCTCCATTAGAATGTAACCTCCATAAAGGTAATTTTGGACCTAATCTAGTACCTTGCACAGAGCCAGTACTCCATATATTTGTGCTGAAACGGATCAATGGATGAGGCGGGAGACCTAGGTTCTGCCTGCCTAACTTGTGGGATCTTGGCAAAATAATTTGTCCTCTCTTGACCTCAATTTCCTCATCTATTGGGGTGGCCAAAAAGTTTATTTGGGTGTTTCCACAACATCTTACAGAAAAACCCAAATGAACTTTTTGGCTAACTCATACGAAATGAAGGTTTGGATGAGATGCTCTGTTAGGCTCTTCCAGCACCACCACCCAATAGAGAAGGTCAAAATAACCTCAAATTGGATAATTCTGTTCTTAATTTCAACAAACTTTACTTAACACCTATTGGATGCCAGGCATGCGTTAATTCTGGGGTATACACAGATGAGATAGAGCCTCTGCCCTCAATATTTTTATACTCTATTTATCTATTGTTGCCTTTTATCTTTTGTTCCAAGACAATTTAAGACAGGATGGGGCTTCCTTGGTGGCTCAGATGGTAAAGAATCTGCCTGAAATGCAGGAGACCCAGGTTTGATCCCTATCCCTATTTCCCTGAAGGAGGACATGGTAACCCACTCCAGTATTCTTGCTTGGAGAATCACCATGGACAGAGGAGCCTGGCGGGCTACAGGCCACGGGGTTGCAAAGAGTCAGACACAACTGAGTGACTAACACTTTCACTTTTGTTCCAGGACAATTTAAAATGGGTCTTATCGCAATCGATGCTTCTCCAAGTGAATTCTTTGAACTACCAGATCTATGAGTTCCTCAAAAGCAAACCTCTATAGTTAAATAAGTTTAGGAAACAATATATCCTATGTTCTCATCCTAGAAAGTCACACTAAACACATTAAAGCCTCTGGGGAGTTTTACAACATAGAAACCTGCGTATTAGATTATTGGAACATTTTCCAGTTTGACCTCAGAACTCCCAGCTGCCACCCCAACCATTTACAATCATGTGCAAAATTCTATTCCACAAAACCCTCTTTGGGAAGCCCTGCTCTCGTGAGCTCTGCTTAGCACACAGGGCCTGGTGCACACATTCTGTGCAGCTCTGAAACTGCCAGGAGGAGCCTGTAGTCTCAGGGAGGCTCCACTCTACATAAAAAATCACAGGAATACTCTCTCCACGGTCAGTTTCTTTAAATGGACCAGTTTCTATCCTGAGGGTCTGCACTGTCCCACTGGTTTCAGAGACACCTGGAGTACCTGTGGCTTGAGTGAGGTTTGCTCTCATGTGGCAATTTGCTTCTGAGATCATCACACCCCTCATTAGCCAGCATAAACAGGCCTCCTGGGCGGTGGGGGGGGGAACCTGTTGACTTTCTTAAAGCAATACGCCCTGCCTTACCCGTTGCTAAAACTCATCAATTCCATAACCCTGAAACACATCAATAATTCAGATAGCCCAACCGGCACTAACAATCCTCTCTGGAAGGATTCATACTGAGCATTTCCCAGAGCCCAAAATAATATAATTTTAAGGTTTAGAGAAGGGCTAAGCTTTTCAAAAGAAATAATGCCTTTTAAATGACAAGGGGCTACTTTATTTCCAACCTCCTATTTAAGCCTATGAAGAAGACCCCTTTGAAGCTAGAAGACTTTCAGAATCCTTGAAGGTATTTAGTTTTTATTTATGTGGTAGAGGAGCTATATAACATACCTATCCCACTTATGTTTCTCGTTCTGGTCTTCTTGTACGTTTTCATCCCTACAGGCAGTTCTTCAGACAAGGGCACCATCATCTCTTACCTGGATGACAGCAACAGCCTCCTAATTGGTCTCTTTGCCCCTAAATGTTCCTTCTCAACTTTTCCCACAATATGGCCAGATCGATCCTTCCAAATCATAAATATCAAAAAGTCATCTGCGCGCTGTTCAGTCGCTCACTCACGTCCGACTCTTTTGCAACCCCCATGGACTGCAGCCCACCAGGCTCCTCTGTCCATGGAATTTTCCCAGCAAGAACACTGAAGTGGGCTGCCATTTCCTTTTCCAGGGGATCTTCCCAACCCAGGGGTAGAATCTGCATCTCCTGCATTGGCAGGCAGATTCTTTGCCGCCTGAGAAGCCCCATCAAGTCAGTACCCTGCTTTTAAAAGCCTTCAGTGGCCTCTCATATGTTATGTTATGGCCCACAATTTTGGTCTATGGGGCCCTGCCTAAGGCGGGGAGGGCTCTCATTGCTAAGTGGCCGAGGGATGTCCTCTGTAGCAATGCTCATCATGTTTTGTTGGAACTATTTTTAGTGTTTCAGTGACAACATAATTTTAGTGATTTCTCTGGGAGGCCGGGGCCTCTTCTGTTGTGTGGCTCCACATTTCCTCACACTTAGGAGGAGGCCAATATACTTGGTGAGTGGCTGTTGTTTCTTCAGTGTCTACGAAGGCAAGGGGACAGAAAGAACAAAAGCTGGCTTGTCTTTGAACTGCAAAATACTCTACTCTGAAAAGTCCCAGGCTTACATATATCAGCCTCTGAATTCTTTTTTGGGAATTACTAGCATCCATTATACCAGAGAGCCAGTCCAATGGGGGCTTGGTGGAGAGCTAGATTTTTGGCAAGAAACATTTGTCTTTTAAAGTGACTTATGATTCATTGACCTAATCTAGCTCAAGGTTTGGTGAATATTTTCTGAACTACAGATCAGAACAGGGGGCTTGAGAGAGAATGTGGGTTACTTCCTGGTGAAGGTGTCAGCTTGGACGATGTGGTTTGGAGGAAAAAATGCTGGAAATTAATGGGACAGTCTTCATGACTATGACAGAAGAAAGAATATTGGAAATATGGATTAGGCCAGGAAATATAAAATTCTGGTTCTGCCACTTACTACAAGTGTGATCCAGGCTGGGCCACTCAACTTCTTCAACTTTAATTTCCTTTTCCAATCAAATGAGTATAATTCTATCTGTTCCCTTAAAAAAAATTCACAGGACTCACTCTAGACTCATGGATGTGGAAAAACTTCACATAGTAGGAAAAACATTCACCAAATAGATGGTGACATTATTAAACTTAATCCATCTTGAGGATTCCCCTGATGATGATCATGTGTGAAATGCCTATTTTAAAGAGGCTCAGAGGTGTGACTCCTTCTTGCTGCAATAATTTTATTCTTGGTTGAAGGCCAGTACGTAAAATTGAAGGAACCTTGCTTCTCAACACCAGGCATCCATTGGATAGGCCCCATAATCACCTTTGCTGTATTTGGCAGAGATATCCCAGTTGAAAAGCATTCAGTCATTTAGGTTGCCCTAAAATCCTTTCCATGAATTTTTAAACAGCAGTTGCTATCTCTTATTAAAAGCCAACTTAGTCTTTTTCTTTACAGTTTCAAAAATTAGCCTGGCTAATGAAGTCCTTCTCCAAATTAAGGGTGAGGTTAAGCGTATGATGATAAAACAGCACAGTTAACATTTACTGAGCACCCGTCCTGCCCACGTGCTGAACACTTTACATTCACTACTTTATTGGATTCTCATGCCAAGCCTATGAGGCAAGTTCTGTTATCAAGCTCATTTTATAAGGACTCTGAAGGGAAGGGAGGGAGGTCGGTCATTGAATTCATTAAGTGTTGGAGTTTAGATTCAAACTCAGGAAGTCTGACTCCAGAGTATGTGTCCTTAAGCACTGAGCATATATTTGGTTCCTGGTACTGTGTGAGGGCTTAAAGATAAAAAGATGAAGATGGCACAGTATTTCTCCTCTGGGAGCTTGGAGCCTTTCTGGAGCACACAAATCTGATCATTCAGAGACTTCTCATTAGACAGTGAGGGCTTTTTGCAAAATTAGGTACCATCTACTTAATGTAAATGGCAAGAATTACTTTGCCTGTAGGCAACACTCTGCAAAGATAAAACTTAACTAAGTCAGGTCTTCTCTGGAGAGGGGAAAAAAAAAAAATCCAAACAAACAGACCATTTACTCTCTGAGGTCAGGGGTCTGTTTTCCCCTCATTTCTCCAGAGCCTGGCACAGTATCTAGTGGGAATGGAGTTCTTAAGATTTCTTAGGCGGCTCCAGGGTCTCTGTTGCTTCCTGTCTCAGACCACCCACCCTGGTTCCCAGCAACTTAATTCTGATGGACCAGGGGCCACAGGGATGGGCAGGGTGACATGAGATGGGGCAGAAAGGGTGTATGGGAAGGGAAGGATAACAGCATGATGGCAATGTCACAAACAGATTGAGCACTTGGGGGGCGGGGAAGAAGGATACTTCAGGTATATCAACCGTCTGGTGATCAAAACCCGCCCCCGGGGCAGTAGATGCTGCGACAAAGTCCGGGACGTGGCAACATTGGGATGCCATGCTTAGACGGTACATGTGTATTTCTAGATGCACATTTCTTCTGTTATGCCCATACACAAACACACACACAAAGACAATTGGAAAATAGAGGAAGGAAGACCATACCTTTAACTACCCTATCCAGATAGTGCGCTTGGGAAATAAAAGACAGCACATTTAAGGTAGGATCCAGAAAGTGCAATACTGCCTGTCACACAACCATGCCGGGTGCTAAGGAGACAAAGGGGGCCGCACCCCACATTTGGGACAGACCTGCCAGGGAGAGGAAAATAAAACCAAAGACAGGACAACACGAGGGAGAAGTGGGGAGAGCAAGCACATTCTCCAGGAAGGGTCAAGAGGAACGTCAACCCACTCTGGGGTCCAGGTGTTTGGAAATGTGATCATATAAACAGGAGGACATGTGGATCAGGAAACCGGGAGGAGGGGGAGGATGGGAAGCTGCAAACGTGGCCATGCTCCTGATCCGTCAGCTTTATGGGAAACAGGCACTTTGTCTGCCCAGAGCACCATCCACCTTCCCTTCGCTGTGGGACAAGAGCGAGGGAGAAGTCTGTCTGGGCAGAGGTGCCCGCAGAAGGTTGGGGTTTGGAGACAGGCAAGACGTGAGTCATCTCTGATATGCACTAGGGGAGTGGGCTGAGTCTTTGGCAAATATACTGCTAGCCTGTCTGCTTGCCACTCTTGTATTTTCCATGGACACACGGGCCCACATGAATGCAGAGTGCTTGGTGTTCTAAGTGAGATGTGTCTCTCCTTTGTGCCTCTTACACAGAAGGTGAGGTGCAGGTCAGTGGAGGTTGCTGTGAAAGAAAAGAAACCCTGACCCCTTCTCAATTCTGATGAACTCAAAAAGGTATTTAGAATGATGTATGTTTTGTTTTTCAGCACATAAGCCATTGTTAATGATCATACATCACCGCTGGGGGGTTATATTCAAGCAGTGAATTATTTGGCAATCTGAGGTTTTGCTTATTTGTGAGTGTGTTAAATGTTAGTTGCTCAGCTGTTTCCGATTCTTTGCAACCCCATGGACTGTAGCCCACCAGGCTCCTCTCTCCATGGAATTCTCCAGGCAAGAATGCTGGAGAGAGTTGCCGTGCCCTTCTCCAGGGGATCTTCCCTACCCAGGGACTGAACCCAAGTCTCCTGCATTGCTGGCAGATTCTTTACTGTCTGAGCCACCAAGGAAGCCTATTGGTGAGGATGGGTGTCAAATGTGGCTCTGAAATAAGCCTGCTATGCATATATGTGGGTGCCTGGCTGTGTGTCTGGAGCAGGGCAGACCTCTTCATCCCCAGCACACATCACACCATCTTACCTTCCCCATTAGGCTGTGGTCACAGCCTTTGGAGGGGTTTCCCTCACACCTCCCCCCCTACAGCTGCCTCATAAGTGCTCCCAGGGAGCCTGGGGAGACAGCCACCTCCTGAAGGGTTTTCAGCCAGGCTGGCCCCCACTCTTAGCTTGATGTCACATGTGAACCAGAAGTCCATAAGGCAGGGCTCAGCTGCAGTGGTGAGGCCTTATCTGGAAGCCCTAGGGTTCTACAAACTGTGAGAACATTCTTACTCTCTTCATAAAAAAAAAAAAAAGCCTAAATTTTATGCTTTCAATCCTCTGGACAGGACAGATACTGTTGCTGTTCATCAATATATATTTGCCTCCAAAGGCTCGTGGATGAAAGGCTATGTTCTAATAGTTCAGGCCTCCTTGTGGTCGGTGCTTCAAGATGAAATACGCTCCCAGAGGCTGCAGAGCCAAGTGGAAAATTGGGAAGCGAAGTTTAAATGGGTCTGCGTGCTTCCCCTTCATTCTCAAAGATCCTGCGGAGTCCATGTGCTGACAGGATGTAAGCAGGAAATGCGAAGGGGAGTGGTGTATTATGCAGGACCGAACAAACAAAACTGTGGATGGACAGACAGTGAAAAGCAGGATCAGTCTGCATGGAAAAACAAGTCCAGGAAGCATATCTGGAGAAGGCAAACTCTTTCTTGATGCCTGGTGCTTTTGCAGCCTTCGTCTTAGTCAAGCTTGTTCGTCTAAGTTTGTAAAGTAATCTAAAATCACTTAGAGGTCATCTCCCCGGATACGCCATCAGACAGCCATAACATATGGGATTTCATGGCTCAGCTGGTATTCTTAGCTTTCCCATCTGCAGAGTTCTGTGAAGGGTCCTAATCATATATTCCGGTTGTAACTCTGAACCCAGCTACAGACGAGATAGAGTGAGCCTAGATGTCTCTCATAGGGCTGGCAAGGATGACACAGCTGGACGAGACACCACTGTTGGAATCCAAATGGCTATACAGCTGTGGAGCATCCATGTGGATGGAGCTCTCAGACCAGAAAAATGTCTCCAAACTCGATGGTGATATTCTGGCTCTGGTGATGAGTAAAGATTATATTCACTATGCAGACTAATCTCCCCAAGTTCAGGGGCTGACCTCAGAGAGCTCTTGCTCTCTCTTCCAATGTCATTTCATTTATAAGAACTACTTAGTAATAAAGTTCTCTATTAAGCATGTTTTTAGTACCTTGAACAAATGCTTACTAACTTCTTAGATACAGGCGGGAACGGCAGCCAGTGTAAGGGATGGAGGCAGACTCAGGTTGCAGTCAATACTGTGGGTTTCAGGAGACAAAAGTGGGCTCCACAAATCCTGAGATTCCTTCCCTACACAGAGACCTCAAGCCACACTGTGAATCTAAACGCTGATAACAGCCAGTCAACCCCAAGTCCAAGCAACACCAAGTCCAAGGGTTCTCTGGGCGCAGAACAGAGCTTTCTTGTCTCTGCTGAAAATCAAAGTGGTAACTGGGTCTTTGAAGTCCAATGTCATTTACTTATAAGAGGCATGTGCAGAAGTCCACACTGCTGTTTCTTTCACTGTTTGAAAATCTTGGAGCATATGCCCTTGAGTAGAGTTAATTAAAATTTCATTGTGATTTTAAAGCACTAACTGTAAGAAAACATGATGTCAAGTCCCTAGGCTTGCATTATGGATGGTGGATTCAGGGCTTCCCCAAATTCCTTCATCTTTTTCTTCCAGATTTTAGGAGGAAAACGATGGCAGTAGAATCATCTTCCTCTCAGATGATGATTATCTTTTCAACATTGCACACGATTCTCAAGCTTCTGCTATATTCCTGTCACTATGCAAGAAACTGGAGACCATGGAAGCACACAGTTATTTATAAGACAAGTTCTGGGCCTTTGGCAGGAGGGAACGCTGTGAGGTCTTAGTTCTCTTTAGTATTTCTATGACCTGCGACATGAAAGCTTCTTTCCTTTGCTTGCTTGTATCAATGGAAGTTTCTAAACATTTCTCTTGAGATAATCCCAATAAGCTTCAGGGGTCCCTTATCAAAGGCTGTGAAGAACATGGCAAGAAGCTTTTTCACTCTTATTCTCCAGGAGCCTCAGCTGACTCTTAATGGTTGTATCATGGGTATGTGTTAGGTCAGATGAAACAAGGATCACTATGGTAGGTGATGATAACTGGGGTGGTTATAGTCATCTGAATTTCTTTCAGATGGATGACATATCATCCAAGAGATATTCTTGTTAAGTTCTTAGATACGTTAATGCTCTTCTCTCTTTGGATAAAGGATCAGTGAGGAGTAAGTAGCCCATGGCACCCACCCTGAAAGGGACTCACAGAGCCCACTAATTGGTCTCCAGTTTCCCACTGCTATCACATGTGGGCTGAGAGCTCCCAGGACCATCAACTAATCAAGCTCCTGTTCTGATAATGTGGGGGCAGATCCCTGTCCATGTCCTCTTTCTCCTTGTCAGTGTTTGTCCTGCAACTCCTGGGTCCTGATGTGAGAGCATGCCTTTGAGGAGGCAGAAGGCAGGAGGAGAAGGGGATGGCAGAGGATGAGATGGTTGGATGGCATTACCAACTCGATGGACATGAGTTTGTGCAAGCTCCGGGAGTTGGTGATGGACAGGGAAGCCTGGCATGTTGTAGTTCATGGGGTCGCAAAGAGTCGGACATGATTGAGGGACTGAACTGTAAGCAAAGGATTATCTCACAGACGCAAATATCTTATGAGTGCTTGTGAGTCCTCTTGCTTGAGGACTGTCTGATAACACAAAAGAAACTCAAGGGCGAGCATTCATAAGTGGACAAAGGACTCCAGAAGTTTGTGTGGGCTTCCTTTATAATTCCTCTGCATCGTGAAGTCTGGCTTTGTTCACTCCAGTAATTGCATCATCCCAGTATTATTTTGATCTTTACTCCCAGAGGGGGATTTGTTTAAGAATCAGGATTTATAGGACTGGACAGCTCTCTTGAAGCCTAGTAAATAATTCTGTATATCTGGCATTTTGAACAATCACAGCTTTGGGGTCAAGGTTGGAATTTTACAAATGTAATCAGAAGCTAGCATTTCCCACATGTGTTTTGGGACTTTCTAGTCAAGGGAAATGAATAAAGTAACCATCACAGAAATGATCCAAAATGTTGATGTTTTCAAAGAAATAGTAAAAATTAAGCACCTTCTTAAATTTAGCTATGATTTTCAGCTTTCTCTAATGAAATAGGAGGTCAAGCCCCAGACTTAAAAGACCCATAAAATTCTTGGAAAAGATGTCCAAAAATATGCTTTTGGTGACTCTGTCTTGACCACATACTTGAGAAATGAATCCACGACACATCCTACCTTAACCTCTGGACTAGGGAAACTGGGTTCCATTTACACTAGGGTGTATTAGAAACAAGTAAGTGAGGGTGAAAAGGAAAATACCCCTTTTTATTTTTAGGAGCAGGTGATGATGGATGTGCAGGTCTGTAGGCAGGGGAGGAGGGGCTGGAATGCCAGTGTCCCTGCAGGCCTCCCCCAGCCCTCTGCATCCTGAGATCTGAGATTCATAGATGGAGAAACTGAAGCCCCCAGCGACCATGTGGTCTGTCCATGGTGCTTCTTCACCAAGACCTTCCTTGAAGATGCAGAGAGATGGATAATTCCTAACATAAAGAATTAAGATCCAAAATATTCTTGCTTTCTGACGAGAATATTGTCATTAAAGAGGATGCCACTGCCAAATTTCCTTTCATTCTGAAACTAATCTATCAAAAAAAAAAAAAAGTAGTTTCCATAAAAGAAAAGGTGGACCCAGATCTCCAAAAGGAGATACTTAATTTCTGCTATATAATCTACTCTGGAAAATGTCACTGGGTTAAGAAGGTTCTCATGCTGGGGACTTGTCATAAGGCGTTCAGACTTGTCTTACTCTTTCAGGCTGTTTATTAGGTAATCAAGTCATTCTTTCCTGTTTATGGAAGGCAGGAGTGTGCAAATAAACAGTCTGCTCTCTTTGGCGCCCACTGCATGGAGGTGTCTGAATCAGCATTGTGGATCCTGGCCTTTTCTCTGGTGTAAGACAAAACCACACTGCAACATAGGAACTAGCTGTGCTATAATCAACCCTCATACAATAAGGAAGCCTGATTATAAGAGAAAATTTAACATTTTGAATTTCTAACTTTTCGCACCAGTAGTTTTTGCTTTTCCTAAATGATCCTCACAGGGAGTGTAGTTCCCTGGAAATATAAGAAAGTGCTTCTTGTTGCCACTAAAGATTAAAGAGAGGCTTCTCCATCTCGTTTCTGTTCTGAAAAGAAAAAAGAAGGCACCACCATTGTCGCCCTCCTTTGCATCACGCACCCCTTCCCTCCTACCGACAAGGTTACTGGAGGGTTCCTTTGGCACTAGGGTGTTGAGTTTCTGGCAGGAATGCAGCTGGCCACAGGCGAGACGCACAGAGGGCAAGTTGCCATGCGGGGAGACGAGACAGGGACAAAGGAGACGCTCACCACACAATGACAGGTAATAGGATTCCGAGCCAACGTCCTTTCATCTGAGCCACTGTGACTAGTCCATTGCTTCTTCAATGTCCTGTGACATTTTCTGGTATTTATGACTGTCAACCTTCCTCCTGAATCATGTGCACTTTTACCTTGATGTATTTCTTATCTGGAGGGGAAACAGCATCTGCAATCCCAAGGTGGAATTTGTTCTTACAGAGTGACAGCCGGGTGTGCAGGGGGAGGTGGGAGGGCCTGCTTTGACTTCTTGGCATCCAAACAAAGGGATGCTCTTCAAGCTGGGCCGATGAACATCCATGAGATGCTAGATGGAGCACCGCCCGCCCCCAAGCCTTTCCATGAATCATCCGTGACCGGATGAGGGGAGACTTTCCCTAAATCCCTCGTCATTTGACTCAGATGAGATGCTTTAATCTTATAAAAGTCTGACATCCATAAACCTTGTGCAACTTGGTGGGGTGAGCTGAGGACTCTGTAAGCAAGTGAGAGAAAACAGAATGCGCTCTCTGTGGGCTCTGATTTTGGTTTTAATAAGCACGGGTCCCCTTCCGGGCTGGGAGGCTAAGAGGTCAGCTTGTCCTTAGTCATGCAGAAAAGCGAAGGTGAAGGGGGAGCAGAGTTTAAAGAAGCGGGTGGGCCTCGAGAGTGATTAGGGCCGCTTCTCTTTCAGGGCGTGTCCAGGGCTGTCATGCGATAGGATGACTCTGACAGAAAGAAGCCACCCGGAGGCGCACAGGGGGGTAACGCGGCACGTTCTGCTATGGAAAAGCAGGCTGGGCTGCCGGCAGCAGCGGAGGCAGCTTTGCGCCTGGTAGGAGCACTGGCTGGCAAACTAACGGCAGGACTCTGAGCACCACTGGAGTAGGAGGGCCCCGCCTCTGGGAAGGACAAGAGCCAGAGGCCTCTGCAGAAAACCCGGGCTTTCACCGCAGCTCAGAACACCAAGCCTCAAGTTCCCGTTCTACTTCTTAACGGTTAAGTGTAGGCCTCGGGTCCCTGCAGAGGAGGGGGTAATACATGTGCCTTCACAGGGTGATGGCTGGGTGTATGAAATGATGCAGTTAAAAGCCCTTAGCACAGAGCTGGCCACACTGTAAACACTCAAATATCAGAAGCCATTATTATTGATGTTAATAAGTATAAGGCATTCCAGAGCCATTTATAAACAGAGCGATGGGGTGGGGGCGGACATGATCAATAAAAATTAATTTCAGGCTATAAAACAGAAGGAATGAAGCCTTAAAAAAAAGACATGAAATAAGAGGGAGCTCCGTTTGTTCAAAATTCCTCCATCCCTCAAAATCTTTGGGGCTTGCCTCCCAGTTTCTGTAAGACTCAGGAGGGGACTTTCAGGGTTGGAGAGGCACTCAGCGTCCTGCCTCCTAAAGCCATGTGCTCACCATCTGATCACAGATTCTTTCTTTAAAAAAAAAAAAAATGGAAGGGGAAGAAGTTAAAACACACATACACAAACCAGTTGATTCAATAAGGACGTTTTGGTGAGTGTTCATTCCAGGATAATAAACCAAGCAAACGTCTGGCTGTGTTTAAAATCAACAAAACCAGCAGGAAAGGCAGAAAGAAGGGAATGGAGTGATCAGCTTGTTTTGAAAGCTGCCAACAGTGCTGCTTCAGCAGGGGCTGGTGCTGAGGAGCCCCCTGGAGAGGGGAAAGGAGACAAAGGCAGGCAGGACGGAAGCTGAGGACAGGAGTGGGGGGGGGACCCCAGGCCTAATGGGCTGCAGATGTGGCCTGGGGCCTGCGGGAAGCTTCCTCCAGGACTCCAGGCCTCTCCGGGAGTACTGGCCTAGGAGGCCATGGCGGGGAGGGGTCAGTGCTAGAACCAAGACCTCCCAACCAGACCATAAATCTGATTTAATGGGCTACATGTAATAAGCAGTACGATGCGCCAGCCTGTGCTCAGCTCTTTATGTGCATGCTTGCCCCTGTTTCACAGGTGAGCAAACTGAGGCTGCGAGAGACACTTAGCCCTTGCTCACAGTTGCTCAGTGGTAGAGTCATCGGCCTCATTCTTCAACCCCAGCTCCTTAACACACAGCTGTCATCCATTTGGCCTGGGCAGGGCGAGCCCCAGGGTATGTTACTGGCTGGTTGAGACCCGGGAAATGCAGACTGGGAGGGAAAAGGTTCCAAATCCCCCAACGGTGAATTCAAATCCAACTGCTGTCTAGGACCAGCCGACCATAATGTCGTCGGATGAAAGGACTTTCGGCCCAGCTCCCGCATGCGATGGGGGCCCCCCCGGAGTGCCCGGCAGAGGCAGGCGGCGTGCGGCCCCCAGGGAGGCCCGGCCCGGCCCTCCTACCGATGGTGCAGTGCTCGCCGTTCCAGCCCGGGCTGCACTCGCACTTGCCGTCGCGGCAGGTCCCGTGCTCCGCGCAGCGCGGGTGGCAGGCGCGCTGGTCGCATGCCGCCCCCATCCAGCCGTCCTCGCAGCGGCACGCGCCCCCCACGCAGACGCCATGGCCCCCGCAGTCGGCAGCGCAGATCTCTGTGGGGCAGGGAGGAGAGAGAACAGGCACTGAGCGAGTTTTTCTGGGGAACAAGCGTCACACTTGGCTCCCCTCCGCCGGCCTCCATGAGCCGTCAGGGTCCCGGAGGCTCGGGGCTAATCCCTGTGGACAAGGACCCCCTGAAAGAATAGTTCTCCCGGCGGAGGCCTGTCCCCAGCCCCCCGCCTCATCAAAACAGGATGGGCTGCAGGCCTCTGCCCTCTTTGCTTTTCCCTGTGGCCAGCCTGTCCCCACTTTTGTGCCTGCCGCTTCCAAAAGGGACCGGTCTTCGGAACAGATGTGAGGGAAAGTCAGATTTAATTAAAAATCAGTTATGTGTGAAAACACAGTGAGGATGAGTCCCTGATCACCAAGTCAAGTGCTTGTGGGTTTGGCTGGGGTGTGTGAGGGGTCCGGGGCTTGCGTTTCACTCCAGCCTTGACTCTAATTGAGGTGGGATGAAAGGGAGGTTGGCTCTCCCACACCCCGTGGGGGTAACTCTGAGTGGCTGTTCTGGGCTTTTGCTGGGTTTATGCTTTGTCCTCTTGCCCATGGCTTCACCNTGGCATCACTGACTTGATGGACATGAGTTTGAGCAAGATCTGGGAGTTGGTGATGGACAGGGAGGCCTGGCGTGCTGCAGTCCACAGGGTCGCAGAGAGCTGGACACAACTGAGTGACTGAACTGAACTGCAAAATGTTCAAGAGTTAAAAAAAAGAAAACAACAGTAAGAGTGTCAGTCTGTGGGGTGTTCCTACGCCTGACATCTTGCCCAGCAAACTAGCTGGACAGGGAGGGAGTGCCTATGTTACCACACCAGGTTTCTCGGCTACACAGAGGACAGAGGCTGCTGGAAAATGTGAGGAAAGAGACCTGACCGGGAGCCAGGGGATTTGGTCTCTATGCCAGGTTCAGGAGCAGAAGCTTTGTGACCCTGGTCAGGTTCCTTGACTTTGTTGGTGATGCTGCTTTTCAGCATTTCTACTGCCCATCAGGGCCAGTAGAAGTGGACAATGAAAAAAAAAAAAAGAAGTGGACAATGGAAGGTGGTGTGGCAAGATCACTAACTCGAGAAAGATTTCTCAGGACAGTGATGGATGTCACTGGATGTCTAAGGACTGGGTTTGCAAGGTTCATGCCTGCTCAGCCACTGATCTACTGTGTGACCTTGGGGAGGTCACCTGCCCTGTCTGGGTGTCAGCTTCCTCACTGACTGCAGGGGGAACCAGACGGCAACTGAGACTGTGGGAGTCTCGGATGTAAACATCCTCCATGTTACACAGCATCATCCATCCCCAGGGCTGGGGCCCTCCTCCTCTGAGAAGTCTCCCACGATTCACCCTGCAGTGGTTGTCTTGCTCTGTGCCTTTCCAGATGACATGGTAGACTGCTCTTCCATTTCTGTGTGTTTCACTGTCGGATGCAGGACACCCTGAGGCTGGATGAATTCTGATCGCCTCTAGGCCTGATACCCAGGATAGTTCTTGGCACAGAAAGACCCTTAATTAAGGTTTGTTGGCTAACAAATCTGTGCATGCCTGTGGTTACTGGTGCCAAAGAATTTAAAACAGTTCAGGTACACCCTGCTCAGCCTGGCTGACAGTCAGTCCAGGCCTGTCTGTCTGCTGTGAAAACTCCCCGAGTGAGGGTGCGGCCGTGGAGCAGTGTCAGGACAGCCAGCAGCCCTCTGGGAAGGGGGCTTTCTCAAGGCGTTCTTCGAGCTTCCTTCCCTTCTTGCTCCCACGGACAGCGTGTTGGACTTCCCTCAAGATGAAGACTGACAGTCTCGGGTCCCTGGGTCTCCCCGTGTCTCGAGTCTGAAATTTCAACCCCTACGGCATAGTGCTGCAAGGACATCCACCCAGGTGCCTCCGGAGGCGGGCCTGCACTCAGGGCTGGCAGAGACCTCGACCTGAGAGCTTGAGGGAAGGTCAGCTTAGCCTTCATTTGGGTTCACTCAGCGCATTTTCCAGGTGGCAGTTTATGGTGTGAAAGTAAACTGCAAACAATGCTTCTATTCATTGAGGTGTGGGCCTGGAGAGGGACAGGCTGTATGGGCCAAAGCCTTGGTGTCAGGGGCCGTGGGGCACTTGGAGGTCACGGGGTTGAGAGAAAGGAGGCAGGTCTTCCCCAGCATTTGAGGGTCTCACTTCAGGCCCTCACTACTGGGTAGTTCATTCTTTTACTAATTAACCTGGAGGCAGTGTGCATGAAAGAGCTAAAGACTTGGGATCAGGTATGACTCCAAAGCTTGGTTCTGCCCATTGTAACCTTAGACAGCTGATTCAATTGCTCTGAGCTTTACTTCCTTCCTCTGCAAAATGGGAATGATGACAGCACCCACGCCAGAGGGGACACAGCCCTGATGTACAGTTTATCCTGATTCCTTTATTCTTCCAGTAATAGCCTGCCTGCTTTGTGCCAGAAACTGTGCCTGGTGCTAGGGACAGAGCTTGACAGGACACAGTCTCTGCCTCCAGGAGATCGTTGAGCAGACAAAGCACAAACTGATTGCTAAGATCATCTGAGTAGTTTACAGCTGTTACTCACTTCGGCACCTTTCTGCTTCTGTGCAATGAATAAAGAATCCTGGATCTTAGGATCGGACAGACTCGGGATCTGTTCTTGGCTTTGTCCCTTACTGGCTGGGTAATCTTCAAGGTGCCAGTTATGCAATTCACTAAATCTCTATTTCATTTCTGTAAAATGAGGATAAATAATTCCCACTTCACCAACCTTAGAGGGCTGGTGTTAGATCAAATGAGATAATGTGGGGGAAAGTCACTTCTGGCTTAATACCGTAACACTTATATCAGGTTTTACAGTGTACAAAGCCCTCTTTGCGTACAGTTCCTCAATTAACTATCACAGCAATGCTTTGTGAACACCTGGCTATTCTCCTTCCAAGAGGTGAGGCTCCTGAGACCCAGAGAGCATTAGGGGATTCAACAAGGTCGAGTGTTTCTCTGGTCCTTTCGCCTCATTCTGACAATCCTCAGCACACTGCTGCAGGACGGACATTTCACAGATGTGGAGACTGAGACCCAGATTGGACAGGGGCCGGCTCTCCTCCGAGCGCACCTTCTGGTTCTTCCAGAAGATGTCCCCCGTTTCTGGCCCTGTTGCTCATCCTTCGTTACGTTCAGGCCAGACCCTGGCTGTGTGTGAAATGCAGTGAGATTCTCTAGGCAGAGTTTCCCCATCAGTTGGACGCACTTTTCTCCTCTGTAGACCGTAGGGGTGATCCTCCAAACAAAATGGTCAGTATCCACTGACCACCAGCTTACACAAGACATGCTGCCCTGGCGCAAAGCTGAGGCTGCCTGGTGGCTGGGCACCCCTCCCTCAGTCCTTCCACAAGCTGGGCTGTGAGCTCTTGCACGTTTTAATGGAAGGGGCCCGAATGGGGTGACTTTGATGTTTATGGGGTGCTAGCTGATGGCAACACAACCTGTCAGGGCTGAGGTTCTCCTCTGAAGATGGGCTTCCCGCCTGAGCGCAGGAGACCCGCTGCCTCGTGGAGGGAGCGGAAACCTGAGACACTACTTTCTTATTCAGCCTCAAGAGGTAGGCCCATTGTTATGCTTTTATATTCCTCTATTATTATTATTTTTTCTCCTTGAAATAAAAGGAACTGCTTTGCTTTTCCTTTTCCAGTTCTGCGTTGGCATCAAAGCAGATATAACTTCCGAGAGTGGTTGGTGCAAACCAAACAGAATGATGCGAAAGAATCTGCTTTGACCTCTCCTGCACCTTTTACATAATGTAAGTGGCACTCTGTGAGCTTCTGGTCAGAGCTCCTAAATCTCAGGTTTCCTTGGTTGTAAACTGTGGATGTCACTGACTACTGCAGAGACTTGTTTGCTGAATTTCTTTGCTCCCAGCAGGCACTGGGGATCCAATGGTGTGCATGACAGACACGGCTCTTTTTCCTGACTCTAAGAAGAGACATCGTAGCATGGCAGATGGATGGAACCTAATGAAATTAAATGAGTTACGATGAATGGAAGCTTCACTTCCAGCATGGAGCCTGGCACACAGTCAGTATATAAACTGCACACACATATTCATATAAGAAAGGAAATGGGGTGTGGTGGCAATGGGGTTCAGATGTGAATTCTGACTTATGTAACATATCTGACACAAGCAAGCATTTGATAAAGGCTAGGTGACAATCACGTGATTAACATCAGTACTTTCTGACTAAATGCTAGAAGACTGGGGCCTGGGTGGAATCCTTTGATGTACTATAGAGTACACAATCCACAGAGTAGACCTGGATTCAGACTTGGACTGCCCAGTGTCCTTGGGTTCTTGTGGAGTCCTTGGGAGAATTACTTAATCTCTCTGCATCATACTTCTCCTCCAAAATGGGGAGAGTAGTGGTGATAACGGAAGGAAAGGGCAAATGTGTAACTGTGTTATGAAATGTGCTCTATAAAACTGCACTATGCACATTGCTATGTACACAACTGATTGAGGGGACCTAAGGCATCCTGTTTTTCCAGTAGTCATGTACAGATGTGAAAGTTGGGCCATAAAGAAGGCTGAGTGGTAAAGAATTGATGCTTTTGAATTGGGGTGCTGGAGAAGAGTCTTGAGAGTCCTTTGGACAGCGAGGCGATCAAACCAGTCCATCCTAAAGGAGATCGGTTCTGAATATTCATTGGAAGGACTGATGCTGAAGCCGAAGCTCTAATGCTTTGGCCACCTGATGTGAAGAGCCGACTCACTGGAAAAGACTCTGATGCTGGGAAAGACTGAAGGCAGGAGGAGAAGAGGGTGGCGGAGAATGAGATGGTTGGCTAGTGTCACTGACGCAATGGACAGGAATCTGAGTAAACTCTGGGAGACAGTGAAGGACAGAGGAGCCTGGTGGGCTGCAGTCCCCGGGGTCGCAGACAGTCAGACATGACTTAGCAACTGAACAGCAACAACCAGACACCCAGTATCAGCGCAGCTCTGAGTCACCCGGAAGAGATGCACCTCCCTGAAGAG